GGCTAAAATTACTATGCAATTTACATTTCGTATTTATTATTTTTGACTAAAAGCTAAGAAAATATTTGCATTCCTTAATTCTGAAGAAAACAACCATAAAAGAGAGCTTTTGGGCAAAAAGGAAAACATAAGCAACAATGTTAAATTTTGTCCCAAACCTTAGTGTCACCTTAAGAATACTGCCGATCATACCAATAACTGTAGCTGGTGGGGGAAAAGAGTTTCTCTAAATAAAAATTAATTAAAAGCTTCTTACGTTCCACTACCACGCAAAAATCATCTTAATAGTTTGGCCATTTTGGCGATTGCACATGAAACCGCCGATCAAGTAAACTTAAAAGAGTTAATAAAAAAGTTTGCAATATTAAAAGTGAGAAAAGTTTCTTTTGATTTTAGTATAGTTGATGTACTTTTGTTTAATTTTTATAGGATATAAGTTTTTGTTTGATTGTACACTAATACATTTTTGTAATATTATTAAAAATGCATTTAGTTAACAATTTGTAACTAGGTACAGGTATATTTTAATTTTTACTGTTTTGTACTACTTGATTGTTAATTTTATATTATATGTTTGTCTCTAAATAAATTTAAGGGGCGACAATTTGTCTTTTTGTCCGGGGCGACATAAATGCTTGAGCGAGAGCTGGTGTTAATAAGAGATAAAATTCATTTCTGTGAAAACTGTGAAAACTTAATAAAATTATTTAATAAATGATTGTTTTATATCTGAATAATCACTTTTCAATTTTAAATCAATTAATTAAACTTACATTAATAACAATTACTTATAATGAAGCTTGTTTATTTGTTGAACAGTTCAAACATAATAAACATATATTATTTTAAAATTTTATATTAAAGCAATAGAATAAATAACCAGTATAATTATATATTTTAAAAATCTACAGATATAGTAACAGAATTTTCCCGATAATTTTGTAAACATTATATAGTAATGTTATGTAAATATTATGTATTATATAATTATGAAACTTCAAATTATTATATAAATATTTAAGTTATGCTTTCGTAATATTATATTCATTGACTTATACTATAATATCAAATGTAAACACCTGTATTAAAGATTTCTGTTTCAAAAAGAAATAGAAAAGTATAATTGTAGTAAGGAATATTTTGCTATATGATGAATATTTTTAAGAATAAAACCTCAGACATTTACAACAAGAAGAGCAAAAAATTAACTTTCAATAATCTTTATTTATACAAAATATCTATGTCTCTACCGTTATTCTATAATTTATAATCAAGACAGGAAATTGTTTCCAACAGTTGTTTTCAATATAACTGGTGAACTTTTCATTATCTTACGACTGATTGTCTGTTTCGAATATGAAACAAGGGAACGTCTGTAAGTTTAGATTAAAGTATGTTACAACAAAATCTAGAATAAATCGAATGAACATGTAGATTAATAATAAATAAAATAATGATTGATGCTCCTTAATAATGTCTTATTATAAAGCTGTTTGATTTACTATTATTATTATTATTCAAACAGAGTGCATCACTATCCCGCATAAATATTATTACTCGTACTATAAACAAAATTCAATCTTAAAAATAATGTTTCTCTGCATTAGGATAATGTGCGCCGTTAACATGTGCAGTTTCGAAATGTTCAGTATCAAAGAAAAAACGATCAATAATACAGCGTTATATGAAGCCACACCATACTGTTGCCTTTAGACATTTTGCAAAACAACACAAATGCAAATTCAAGATAGCGTGACTTTGCCGCATTGAGATTACGTGCACTTTAGCCACCTGGTGGAAAAAGTTTGAATTAGTTTTCTTCCTTTGTTCTTTCAAGTGTTCCAACTTATGTAGATCATAATGCATTTCTTCTTCTTCTTTTTTCTTTTAATAATGCGGTTTATCTGATATTTCGTACGCTATACTTTTGTACAACTAAAAAATACTTTACTACTACTCCGTGCTACATGTAATGTGATGTAATTAAGTTAATGTAGCATAATTAGTTCATATATGCAGAGCAAAACATTAAAAAAAGCAGGAAAATTGAACGTATTTTCCAAAATTATTTTTATAATTTTCTATTTTCTTCATCAAGCTCGAAAAAATTAGATTATAAATACATAATTTAATTTAACTGATGTATATTAATTTTAATTACATAATGTATATGTTCATTAATTTCTAACCGAAAGGCTAATTTCTTTAAAAAAAAATTATAAAATTGATGACATTTTCAAGAGAAAATATTTAGTGACGAAATACGAAAATGTTATCAAAAAGTATGCTTCATAAATGAAAATCAAACGTTTTAATAAAAACAAACTAAATAACGAGCAATCATTTATTATGACATCGTCACAATGCCGGGGAACAAATTTTTATCATATTTTTTTATTTATTTAATTTAAAATATATGCTCTATTATTAGTAGTGTCTTGCCGCTGTACTGTACATCGTACTTTTCTTGTTACAACAGAGTCGTGCAGTCATCTATCTAACTCCTTACAGGGGGAATTATTTGAATTGAAATAACGTAACTTCCAGTTTGCGTCAGAAGTTCGTTTACAGCTAATCTGGGCCTCCTGCCCCTATCGTTTCCACATCTATTATTGGATTTCATATACCTAACTCTACTTACGAGATTAAGGAAAGACAGACGGACATATGAATAATAGTGGAAATTTATAGTTCTACAAGTTTTTCAAATTGCAGTTCAAATAGTAATTAAATTCCTTTGTTCTATAGAAAAATATCTATGATCTACACTAAAAATGATTTGAAAGATCTGTAATTATATTAATGGTGCATTATAACTTCATAAGACCCAGGCAAATTTGAATTAGGGGAGTCCATGTATAGTGTTGTGAAGTGGGTCCATGTATAGTGTAGTGAATTAGGGGGTCCATGTTTCTTCGAAAGAATTTTTTAAGAGAAATATTTTCTTATAAAAGATTTATTTTGGGTGCCCTGTTGGTGGGGACTCCAGGCAATTGCCCTTTTTGTCTTAGGATAACGCGCCACTGAATTACGTGACTAAATTTTGTATTGAATTTTCATGTTTGTTATTCAGTCACGTGGTTAAATTCAGTTATGATTAATGTAATAAAAGTAATTAAGTCATTAAATATAAATTTAATTAATATTGAGCAAACATTTTTAAATTTTAACATCACATTACGAAACATTTCGTACAACAATAAATAATTAATTATTGTTGTTGTTATTATTATTATTAATNAACGATTAGTCTGTGTTCAGGAAAATTTTGTTATTAAAAAAACATGAATCAATTTATAATAAATTTTATAACTATAAGCTTAATTTTTCACAAAAATTATATAAAAATCAATTTATATAATATTCAGGAAAAAATTGTCTTACAGTAATTTTGCATTATTGTTAATAAATATTAAAGTAATATGGCACAATTAAAAGATATACTTCTTAAAGTTATTATTATTAAATTTAAGAAATATATTTATTTATTATTAAAGAATAACATATTAAGTCATTTATGGATGCCAAAGATAAGGGGTAAAAAAATTTTATAGAGAGAAGTTCATTATCTTAAAAGCGTTAGAATTGCACAAGATTAATTACTGTTAAATAATTATCTAAAATTACGAATTAAAAGTTATTTATAACTCTTAATTTGTAATTTATCAGAAAGATAAAGCCTGTAAATATATATTTTATATCAAGTTTTAAAAAGTCTTATCAATTTTATTATCATTAAAAGAGTTAAATTAAATAATCAATGATTTTAATTCAAAAAATAAAAATTTTAAAAAAATACATTAAAAAAAGTTTTAAACTCAAAAAACACGATGCAACAGAAAGTGAAATATTTTTTGAAATTTTTTACTTAAAAGTTTATTATGATTTAAAACATTTTTATAACAAATTTCTTTTTTCTAATTACACATACTTCAAGAATAATTTTACTTAATGATAATCCAATATTTAATTTAAACAATTCAATTATATATTTAATTAACTTTAAGCTAATTGAATTGTTAACAATAGACTAAATAACCTAATCTGCACAGACTATAAAATAAATTTTAAATAATTTTAAATTCATCTGAAATAATAATTTAATGCAGTTTTCACAATTTTGTTTACTAAAAATTGAAATTGCAAGAGAAGGGAAAAGAAATTAATGTTAAAAGCCTGCACCTGAAATCTATTCGAAATACTTTTTACTTAATAGTAATAATAATAATAATAAAACGTATTTAAATCATATAATATTATCTGCAAATTGCGATTTAAATATATTTTAAGGTAAAGTACTATATGGCCGATAAGGTAATTACTTTAATAACTGCAATTAAAGGTGCGTGTGCAAATAAAAAATTAAAGATATTTTCCAAGAAATTCGAAGTAAAAAATTAATTATTCAAATGACACATTGAGAAGTGTTTAAATAGTGTGAATAGGTAACATAACATTATATGGGATTTAAAAATTATGCGACCTTCCTTACGTTATAAATAGCATAACTTCATAAATAATACAGTGAGTCTTTAATGTATTTCGTAAATTATCACTTTATCTTTACGAAAATTTAACGTTTTCTTCTTGAAATGATATATTTAATATATATAATTATATTAATAATTAATTAATAATTCATATATATAAATAAAATCACTTTTTCTATTATATGATAAATTTCATACGCGGTTAAACAATATATTTAGCATTATCTGTAATTATGTATTGAAAATTAGATTGTTTAGAGATATAATTTACAGAATATAATTTTTGTTAATTCGATAAGTTCTGCAGAATTTAGATACAGTATATGCATCTTGAATAATTCACTTATTAACATGGCACGATTTAAATAATAAAATTTACGACTTGCTAAATGATATGTAATAATGTAACTGATTATCATTATGGCATTTTTGTAAATCTTAATAATTTGTGTAAAATGTTCATTGAATTTATACATATTAATATATTTAACAAATATAAGAATTAAATACCTTGTGCAGCATAGTATCCACAATGCCTTCTACAGACGTCTCCTGTACATCTAGTAGTACAACAGCCTGATTAAGGAACTGGTCAACATCCATAGAAGCTCTAACTTCCGCTCCAAAATCTTTCATCGGCAATCTCTGCAAGGAACAACCAATTATTAAATTTGGCATTTTAACTCTATTACGTTCCATGGCGCCTGCATCTGAAGTAGAAGCACTCGAGATAATCCTCGACAGCGACTTCTTCAGACTGGAAAGAGAGGATTTTCTGCGTTGGGAAGAATTGCAATTGCGATCGTCCGAGGATCCAGTCATTGCTAACATTGAAGGATCAACACGTTCCACATGATTTATATACTGCATCTTCGGCCAATCGCATCGAATGACGTCAAAGAAGTTAGTAGTATACAAAGAAATCTGTTCGGCTTTACTGTACCATTTGTAAAAGGCGAAATCCTCAATACAAAATTAATATCCTGCTTTAAAATTTCCGATACTTATTAAATTCAAGCATTTCAAATTAAATTTTCTCTTTTCAAAAAAATGGATAATTTTTAATTATTATTATTTTATTTTCTCTAAAGCGCTAAGAAGAAACTCGAAATTTTAACTTCTTAAATATCGAAATTATGGATTAAACAAATAGAAATTTGTGTGTAACAATAATAAAAATGTATATTTAAAAATGATTTATTTAGAAAAGTTATTTACTGATTAAATAATAAATAAACTTTTTTATTTAGTTAAAAATATATATACCTAGACTTTAAAGAAATAAAGTAATTATGATTTATAATCAATAAACACACATTTTATAGTTAAATATGCCAATTTTTATATCAAAAAATAATTTTAATACAGAAATTTTTATTAAAAAGAAATGAGCATTGTTATTTAGATTTACTTTTCTATTTGTAATTTTATATAGCTTGTAATTAAACTTTGACTACTGGTATTAGTTTTTATGTGTAAGTATTGCTGTACAATTATTATAATTAAATATTTGGTATTATTGTAATTCTATTTACTATAAGCATACAAATTATATATTAGGGTATAGTTCTATTCGCCTTTTTTCCTAAAATGTAATAAATCTGTTGTTGTTTCAGCGTTGAAATTTTAAATTTTATTTTATATTTTGATGGGCTATAAAAGATATAACAATTGTAAGTTATATGTTTCGAAAACACGTGCACAAAAAGTCGTAACAGTTAAAAAACAAGCTATATATAATTATTATCAGCATAAAATAGGTTATAAAAATTTTTAATGCTTTCTAACTTTGCATTTAAGAACAATATTGCTTAAAAATTAATATATAAATATATACATATGTATTTATAAAATTTGATAATGAAGAACATATTTGTAGAAATTTTATTAATTTTATATGATATTTTGAAGTAAATGTACAAGACTTTAGATGATTTCCAGTAACTTATTCACTAATTTACATTGATCAAAGACACGTGTCACGTTATCATCTAACACTAAATTAAATTCACAGATTTATTATTTATTATTTTTGGGAGAATTTGAATAATAAATCTTCTAATTTATGCTATTTAGAATTAAAGAATTAAATCTTTAAAATATTTCTATTGTTATATTATACAGAAATATAAATTACATAATAATTATTATTTAGAAATTTTTAATACTGTATAATAAATTAGGATTATCTTTTAAAAATAACACCAGAATACGACTGTATATTTATTTTCCAAGTCGATACGTAGAAAAACAAAGAAGCTTAAGACTATAAATTTACTATATATGAAATACTATATTTATACATACACTTTCACATTTCTACATAAATGTACATTCTAAAAATGTCAAAAAAACTTTTAAAGTTATTATTAAAAGCGTATTCATTTAGTATTTAAGTATTAAAAGCGTATTCATTTATATATATTCAACTAACAACAAACAAAAATCCTGTATAAGTCTCAAGAAAAAAAAAAGATTTAATTCATGTGTTGAGGATTTATATAACATTTCTTTATCTCAAATAAGATTAATTCCATCTTTTTCTCCGTGCTGTATATTATTATTCTTCATGCATCGATTTTAACATTTGACCTTTTTGAAGTATGACTACTATCCAAAACAGCTGCAAAGATGCTGAAAGTTCTTAATGTCATCTCGATATTCTTAATACTTATCTTCTGTACAACTTGATTTAAGTTATATTATATTAAATGTATATTGTTAGAATTAGATAATTACATCCTTACAACTATCAACGTTTTTTGAGTTGCTTAGGCAATTACATAGCGAATATGCTAAATGTTATCTACTTTTTAAACTGATCTGTAGTTCAAAAATAATTTAATAATGTCATTATGAATAGCACGGCCACTTATTTTTTTCATATGATAATTTTGAATTTATTTTAATGCATTCGCAAAAGTAATTATTAAATTAACATAAGCATTTTTTCGAAAAGTTAAATTATTTTTGAAGACGAGTGAATAAGCTTTTAAACATCAACGTGTTCGAATTAAAAGTAAGTAATACTGCTAAATTTTGTTATTTAAAAACAAAATTGTTTTAAAAAATAAATCTGTCTATCACAAATACCATTCTAATGATAAAATTCTGAGAGTTTAATCGTCAAGTAATATATATCCTGTTTTATCTGAAGATGATAATTAATAATATAACTAAAATAAATAAATTATTGCAACAATTAAACAATACCAATATAAATTCGAACGTAACGTAAATACTGGAATTTTTATTAAAGAATTCGAGATTTTTACGAAAAAGATAACATTAAGATGTGCACTATTCTAACGAATACACCACATCTTCATGCCACTCCTTGATAACCAATTTTATTTATAATAGTGTTCGGAATACTTCCAGTTTTAGCATAATCTTCCGCATGTTATAGTAATGAATATTAGTAATAATTTAATAATTGAATTATCTAACTGATAATATTAAATATTTTTTATTATATTTACAATCCATTCCAGAAATTTATTCAGTTTTCATGGGAGTTGATGTCTCCAGAAGTCGATCGACTATAGTGTTAGTCGAATAATTGGAAGGTGTAGCATTACAAAATAGAATCGTCCCTTTTCTTATGCAGTAGGAATAAGAAATATAAATGGTAGGAGAGGGGTAGAAGGTAATTGTAGCGATTCAATCATGGCGATTAATTGATCTGAATCTTATGTAGCAATTTCGAAGCAATTGTGATTGCAGGTGAATTCTTTATCTGATAAACAATTGACCTGCAGCTAAAATTGCTTAGAAATTGCTACGTAAGATACAGATTTTAAAAGTCGAAAGATTAACAATAGAAATAAGAGAATAATTTTAAATAACAACAAGCAAAAACTATTGTTACATTGTCACAATGCAAAATTGCAGCCTGTCATTGTGATATCACAACAAAAAAAATTTTAAATATCATAAATTAAAAATATGATTAAAAACTATGAAAAAATTGCAGCTTAGCATTGTGATGTCACAATGTCAAGATGCAATGTTTTTCATATTTTTGTATCATATTTTTAATTTATTTAATTTAAAATATATGATCTCGATCTCAAATTAGTAGTGCCTTGCTCCTGTATATCAATCTTTTCCAGATAACAACAGAATCATGCCAGTAATTTATGTAACTCTGTTCTGAGGAAAATTTTTGAATTAAAATCTCGTGACTTCTGGGCTATACTGGAAGTTCGTATATAGTTAAGTTAATCAGGGCTACTTGACCCTAAGCTTTACATATTTGGTTCGACTTTCATCTATCTTACACCGTTCTCGAGATTAATGAAGGGCAGATAACTGGAGAATAACAGTGGAAATTTGTAAGTCTACAAATTTTTCAAATTGCAGCCCAATTATAAAATGTATTTGTTAGTTCAAGTAATATTTATAATAATTTTTATAACAAATATTAAAATGTTTTAATAAGTGTGTAGAAGTATAAGTAAAAATTAACACTTAATACCGAAATTTATGAAATTTATAGCTGCATCATCATATTTATTTCGTGCAGGTTTCAAAAAGAGTTTGAGATGTTAAATTTTCCAGCTGTATTTGAAATTACAAAATAAAAATAAGATGGAAAAATTCCGTAAAAGTAAATAAGAAAGACATTGAATTTATCATTTAATTAAACATTAACATCTGAAACATTTCTATTATAAATAATAAAAATATTTACAAATTAGAAGAAACAGTCCTCATGTCTTGTCCTACTTCAATACTTCAGGAACAAAGTGTTTTGTTCCTGACTGTTTGTTTCCTTCTAATTTGTGAATATTTTTTAATATTTATAATGACTCTTGCCATTTCATTTAATTAAATTTCTATAATATTTTATTCAATTTAGATTTTATATTTTACTGCAATATAATTACATAAAGAGATATTAATTTGAGTTTTAGCTTTTAAATTTTCTATAAGTTTTTGAAATTATAAAAATAATAATAAGATGGAAAAATCCATAAAATAAAAAAATAATTCATTAACATTCAAGCAACATAGTAAGGCTAAAAGAAAACCTAAATTCAGTCGATAGTAAAGTCACAGTTAGAGCTATTATATTGTAAATTATCATGAAATGCTAATTTATACTCAGGATGTAGGCTCCAATTATGATTCTCATAACTTCTAAAATAGTATAAAGTTATGAGAATTATAATCACAATTTAAAAAATTAAGATTTCATTAATAAATTTATCTACTATTGAATAGAACTTAGTGTAACGAGCTACCTTGTAAATGAGATAAAGACGATTTAACTTTATCATATAAAGTTAAATCATCTTTATATAATACAGTATTCAATAAAAATCAAATACAGAAATATATTTATAATTTAATTATGAAATACTACTTAAAAAGTGTTGGGCTATTGCAATTATATCCGAATATAGAAAAAAAAAACAGTAATAAATTAGTCAGGAATCGTGTAAAATATTGAATATATGATAATGCATTCAGATAATTTGGATAAGTAGTGTAAATGCCGGCATGTCTATTTTTACATTTTACGAAGTACTCGTATATTATCTCATATTGCTAAATATAAATAATTAGACTTATGTTGTTTTCGAATATAAATTTAATTTTATAAATTCAGTAGTTTGAAAATATTTTAAAAATTAATT